GGAGTTGAGGTAGTAGGAACAGCAGGATGATGAAATTATTGAGCTTTGACTTAAAGAAGCTTTCACTGAGGGACCTTTTAGTGTCAATGTCACATTAAGCAGAGTATGCTGGACCAGGGAATCGGCTAATGCTTATGCCAACAAAATCAGGAGATTGGCAGGTTTGACAGGATTCTAAGAGAGAGGCCTCAACAGGATGGTAAAATTGAGCTTTGTGAACAGTTTCCCGGATTGCATCTCCAAAGCTCTCCAACATTTTCTCAGAATAAGTTCTATGAGTGGTACCTACTGTGCCAGTAGGTACCACTCTTATCCAGCGGAGACATCAATGAGAAAACTACCACAATTAGTGGTAATGGTGAACAGGTGAAGTGCAGAGAAGTGTCCAAACAATTGATGGCAGAACAGTGCGATGCAATGGAATGAGTATGGTTCAATTGGTAGTGTGTGGGACGCCATTTACAATCCAAGTTATTGTTATCAATCGAATGGTCACAGGTGTTGACATGGTTTTAAGCATGGATGCAATTACAAAACTTGGAGTGGGGGTGACTGTGTATAGGAACATGGAATTCGGCATTCAGCACTGTGCTGCAAGCATGCAGTCAGAGAGGAATGATAATGGAAACATTAATGCAGCATTGGGGAAGCAAGTGCGTCAAACTGGCAGTCAGTAACTATTTTTAATTTCTGGTTAATCATGTATCCATCCTTGACAACTAAATATGAACAAATGTAAAATGAAAATGTTCATAATTTTATATTTTGCCTTAAAAATGTCGAATTCTCCTCTATCTCGTAAAAAGAGAAAATTATCTGAAGAAGGATGTGTGTCTCAAGAAAAGTGAGAATTACAGTACCACTGTTAATGGAAAGATAAACTGTTTGATTTGCAACCACTGCATTGCAATGCCAAAAGAATATAATGTGAAAAGACATTATGAAATAAATCATCGATCTTATGATAAATATGAAGGCGATATGCATGTTTCGAAAGTGAAAGAATTCAAGGTTAACACAGCAACAGAGTTGCTTTACAAAAATTCAGAAAAGCAACATTAGTTCTGTTACAGCAAGCTTTAAACTCTGCAAAATGATCACCATCAGTGGAAAATCTTACAGTGAAAGAGATTTCATAAAGCAATGTCTTATAAAAACAGCTGAAATTATATGTCCAGTGAATTCACATTTATTTCAAGACATTTCATTAAGCAGGAATACTGTTGCTGAATGGATTGATGAAATGGCAGGTGATTTAAGTTGACAGTTGAAGACTTTATCATCAAGTTTTTATCTTTTTCCTATTGCTCTGGATGAGACTGTTAACATAGCTGCAATAGCACAGCTTGCCTTTTTCATCAGGGCTTGTTACAATGAATTTCAAATTTATGAAGAACTAATTGAACTGGTCCCAATACATGATACAACAAAACAGGACAGTTTTGAGGAAGTTGAACAGTTCCCCATAAGTATGGCCTTGATTTGAGTAAAGTTATGTGTTTATCTACTGATGGTGCTGTCAGTATGGTTGGGAGACAAAATTGTGTTGCTACCAAGTTAGTTACAAAATAGAAAAACATATATCCAGATTCAACATTCTAGCATTTTCACTGTATAATTCATCAACAGAACTTATGTTCTAAGATTTTAAAATTAGATTATGTGTTCAGTTTTGTCACAAAAACAGTGAACTATATCAGAGGTTGTGCTCTGCATCACCGTCAGTTTAGCCAGTTATTGGAAGATGTGAATAATCAGTTCACAAATGTCTCATTCTACAAAAGAAAGTACTAGGAGAGGAGGATGCCATGAGATGAGCCACTGATTCTTACATAGATGATATAATGGTGGATCAAACAGTGGCAACAGCTGACCAAGTGAAGTAAAATGGTATGTCATCTTGACAGGTTCGTGTTGACCACAAAACAACTGGAATCGTTGGAAGTGGGAATAGCATTGGGGCTCTGATTAAAAAAGAATACAAAGGGAATGATGGTGTTCTGAAGAGGAAATAATATTCCCCGTGTGCTGGATATGCTGAGTAGGAGAAAATTCTTCTTGATTTGTGGGAATCTAGTTGGCCATTATGGCTGCGCATTGCATGTAGCTATGTCACAGAGGGGAAAAGAGAGGATCCAATGAGAGAAAGCTGGTATATACCCGATAGCAGAGAAGGTATTCTGTGGTGCAGTGCAAGCAGTCTAGTGTTGGGAGTCATTTTGGAAGTAGGTGGTGTCACCACAGAAGATGTAATCTGGTTGTGAAAGAAAAATGACCACTCATATTAATGTGGCAGAATTGGATGCAGTCATGGAGGGCATTAACCTGGCCATAAAATAGGGACTGCAAAGAATTCAAGTGAAAACTGACTCAGCCATAGTGGCTTCATGGGTCAGGTCAGAAATCACCGGAGAGAGGAGGGTGAAGACCAAGAGAACCAACAAGGTGTTTATGAAGTGACAGTTAGGAGCTCTTCGAGCACTTATCAAAAAGCTGAACATCACATTTGTGCCACTGGAGAAGAATAGAGTGGGTACAATTACCAGAGTGAATAAATCTGAGATTTGGGTTCTGAACAAACCCACAAAAAGAAATAGAACCAGAAACAGCTGCTGTAGACTGGACTGAAGGAGCTCCATGACATGCACCATTTTGGATAGGGCAAAACCCTGTTCTTGTCATTGAAGGTTGATTGCAGCATAACTTAGAAGCAGTCAAGGTGGTAATGGAGAGATACAGCAAGTATATAAATCTGGCAGCAATTAGACATATAGTGAGTGAGCTTCAGGTGGAGCAAGATTGGACCTAGTTGGCCATCAATGTGATGCATTATCAACAGGGACTATACCTGTCGATGATCAATTGTGGACCTGGACAAGTGGCCATTATGGAGAGAAATCAGAGCAGAAAATGGAAGGAGGTGTTTTTGGAGTAACTGAGGTGCTGATGGACAATGGCACCACCTTCCACTCAGCAGCCTTGAAGATGTTAGAGAAGTGGGGCATGAGGTGTTTCTTTAGAGCAGCTTACAGGCTGAGTGGTAATGACATTGTCAAACGAGATTACTGGAGAATTAAGGCTGCAGCTGAAAAGAACCAAATTTCGCCAGAAGAAGCTATCTTTTGGTATAATATGTCACCCAAAATGGGTCAGGATGCAGATTCTGTACTGCAGAGAGTAGTCTTCAAATATGAGTGGTGGCATCCAAGAGCAGGGTCCAGAGCCACAATGTCAGGAACCAACTAATATAAGAATTGGAGAGGAAGTGTGGGTTAAACTGCCTGATGCTCACTGCATCTGGGAAGATGCACAGTGACTGACGTTCAATTGCAGAATGTGTCGGTTGACAGTATTCTACAACATATTCTGGATGTGTGACAGGTTATCAAAGATGAAGCCAATGACTATGAGCAAAGTGAAAATCATCAAGCCAGTGACCATGACCAGAATGAGGACCATCAAGCTGAGATATGTGAAGATCACAGCAGGAAACGCATTCTTCTGTTTAGACAAGCAACTACGTCATGGCATAAGTGATCGTAAAGATCAGGGAAGCATGTGGCTGGATGGAATCATGAGGAGGGACATCCGGGTGCATTAGTGCTCCATTCTCAGATGCCCAGATGTCTATCATCTGGGTGGGTGATTGGTGATTTTCCATTATAAATAGACCATCATGGAAATGAGAGATCACTCTCTTGGGGTACATCATACAATATGTACAGTTGTGACAGTTTTGTAATGCCTATTTGTAGACTTTATAAATCACAAATACAATAATAGTAACACCTTTAAACAATACTCAATCATCTGCTGCTAATTTCCATATATATATATATATATATATATATATATATATATATTTTTTTTTTTTTTCCTCTACCCATCACATGATCTAATTATTTCAAGATGCAGTCAACTGTGCTTGCTCTCTGGTCATATGTGTTCAAACCCAAGTATCAGCAGTGACACTTTATTCCTATATGACAAACAGGCAGGGGAGGAACAAATATGGAAGCAGATATGGAGAAAAGAACAAAGAAAAAAACGAGAGACCGATGTAACTCCCACTCAAAAATTGTGTCCTGAAACAGAGTTAATTTCTTTTGACCACACTATATTTAATAGAATTTGAAATGTAACATTTGTTTCAAAGAAAACTCTTTATTTTCTACTGTTAGCTGTGACTGAGTAAATTAAGCTGATCAATAAAAATAGTTCTAACATTTTTTGTACATGACACAAAAAACATGATAGTGTATACAGTTTTAGGTAGTTAAGTTAGTGATTCCTCATGATAATAGAGATATTTTGGTAATGTTGAATAATAGTAAGCTTCCTTTATTTTTTTTTTTACAAACATGCATGAACACAAAATAAATTCAGAAATTAATTTAATCTATGAAAATAGAAAAAGAATGTAGAAGATTTTTAATATTAGACAGGCCCTGAAAAGAAACCCTGGATATTTTTATATAGTTTTAACATAGGTTCATAATTTTATTATTCTTATTTGGAGATCACCTGATATAATACAAAATAGATTATTATATATATACTTATGCAAAAATCTCATTAAATGTCATAGATCTTTATTAGGCTGCTCAGTTGATTTTAGTGGTCTAAAATCAATTTCTCTAAAAATGTTCATGTTTTAAGAAAATGCTTTTAAAAAGCTTCTTCTTCTTTTCATTCTTTGGTAATCTGTATAGCATTTATTGTGACAAATGATTAAGCCACAAGCAAACTCATTATTTGCTGTGTCATTATCATAACATTATTATATTATCATAACATTATTATATTATCATAACATTATTATATTATCATAATATTATTATATTATCATAACATTATTATATTATCAAAAGCAAATTTTCTTAACTTTTCATGGTTAATTTTGCCAGGAAATTAATCTGTGAAAATTCATTTTCAGTGGTTTTAATATGTAATAACTAATGATTTTAAAAGAAAAATTGCACTTTTTAGGTGATCCACCAATGTTCATCAATTACAATAAAACCTTCCAGAAAATCATTGGATTTGGTGGTGCTTTTACTGATGCTGCTGGTATCAATATTCTTTCTTTGCCACTTAAAGCACAGAAAAGATTACTTCAGTCTTACTTCTCTCCTGAAGGTAAGTACTAATATATTCTAATTTCCTTATTTATTAAGCTAACTGCAATTAAATCACCTAAAACATTCCTTCATAATTAGCAATCCTTACTTTATTAACCATATTAATTTCTGCTATTCCAAGTGTCTGTGCTACTCATTGCCCACCTTGAAAAATTTAATGTCTGTTATAAAAACAAATTTTTAATTGTTTTTAATTTTTTATGTTATTGTCAAACTACCACAGAAGTATTTACATGTATTCAATGTTATCAATAAGTAAAGACAATAACATAAATATGGATCATGTTGCTACAAGCTCCTTTGAAGGCTACAAGAAACAAACAATCTACAGCATCTGAGGTATCTACTTGAATTGATCCATTATATGAAAACCATGTGTGATGGATACATCTATTTTTGGAAAAAGTCCAAACCCTGTCACTGGCCAGATAAGACTTTGTGTAAAATCCAACCAAATTTCAGGTGAGCATTGTTAACCAGAACCCCTATATCTAATAGCAAACATTCTTTACCAAAAGACTAATAGAGGAGATTGCTATTGCATTCACTGATTTTTGAGGTTGCAACTCCGGTCAGCACAGCAAAGTTATCTTTTCTTATTGATACATGTGCATTTGTAACAACAAGATATGCAAATGAGACTTGCCAAATCTAGAATTCAACTGCTTATCTTCTGCCAATGGATAGGATATGGAGAAGCTTCCTTTGATACTGATATTCCAGAACATTGCCATTCACACTGAACTGAAGTTAATGCTGCCACTGTCAACACACTTTTACATGCCAGTAACTCAGTTTGAAAGTGAGCTGTTTCTTCATGAACAGTCAAAACAAATACATTTTCACAGATTAAGAAAAACAACATAGAGTCCAGTAGGTTGAGAGACAACACAGGATAATTAAGTCTTCTATAACGGGCACAAAACAAACCTGGTTAGATACCTTGCCAATAGTATTGTTTCCTTTATGGAACCTACCAACAAATCAAAGTTATTCACTAGCTGTTGCTTTTACAAATACTTCATTGCTACTACCTAGATCCACAGTTGGAAAAGAGTCATTGGATTTCACTAACAAAAATTTTGGTAATTATCACAGGAAATGTTTGAACTAAAAACTGAGTTTCTCTCTGAAGGATACCTAAATAGTTTCAATTCTTTTAATTCCTCAAAAGCTATAACAGTGTACCCCTGTCTGGTTAATAGTTAACAGAGTCAGGTCTCTATTGAAGGTCACTTATGCTAGACCCTTTAAAGTATTAAAAAGAAATTAAAAATATTTCATGATCAGGCTCCTAACTGGAAACCAACTAAATGTTTTTGGACAGACTGAATTGTTTGGTGCTGATCTAAAACCAGAGGAAATACTACTAATTGACAGTGACACTGCCATGAAGGATGAATCTATTGGTTATAATATTTCAGATGATGACTCATCTGCAACAACCTCAGTCACAGACTTCTAAAACTACATGCTTGGTATTTTCTAAAAAGAATCAATTCTATTATTTCATATAGTTAAATGTGTTTGCTTGATCTGCTTCTGGGAAGGAATTTATTATGGGGCTAGTATTAATAAAAAGAAATTAGCACCCATACATACAAAAAAAATGTTATCCATCATACCATAAAAATAAAAATGGAAAGGCTTTTATTCAGCTGACACCTAATTCTAAAATTTCCAGTAAAGTGGTTGGCTCATTTTCTCTTCATTAACTGTGCTTGAGATAACCTGTAAACTTTGGCACTCCCTAAAACAAAGACAGAGAAGAAACACACATGTACACACCTTTGAAATATTTTTACTGACATTGTTTATAGAAAATTTGATATTCAATTTTGTTTTTAAGATTTTTAATTCATTTTTCATTGATCCATTGTATTTCATGTATATATAATAGTTATGCCAAAGTCTTTTTTATAGCTGCTAGTATATTTTTTTATATAAAGATGTACTAACAGCTATAAGAAAGACTTTGACATAACTATGTTAATACTAAATTTCTAGTTGACATGAAATGACAAGTAAAAATTCTTAAGTAAACTAAAAGCTTATTTGTCATTTTTTGTTAAAATTATTTTATTATGTGAAGAAGATAAGCTAGCTTAATTATTAAATATATTTGGTATGTTTTTCAGGAATTGAATACAATCTTGGCCGTGTGCCAATGGCCAGCTGTGACTTCTCAACACACGTGTACTCATACGATGACCATCCAAATGATACATCTCTGTTGAAATTTGTATTAGCTGAGGAAGACCTTATTTACAAGGTTTGATACAGTATAGAATTTAATCATATTCCTTATCTTTTTTATTTTTGGGTTATAAGATTTTACTTAATTTAATTTTTGGAGTATTATTGAGAATCAATTCAAATGTTCTAATTAAAATAAAATTCTTTGGACCAGAAATAAAAATCATTAAGATCTACCTAAAAAAATGAGATTATAATTTAGAATATTGATCTTAAATTATTTAGAATCTTTGAATTTTACATATAGTGTTTGATATGAAAGTATTTTAATAAGTAAACTTTTAAATTTATATAAACTGATAAAAAAGTACCAATTGGTATTATGATGGTTATATATCCTGAATATTTAATATTTTCTGTAAATCAATAATTGAAGCAAATGAATTAATTAAAATTAAATAAATATGTTGATGCTGAGGATACCATGGACCGAATATGTGAGCAACAACAAAGTTTTAGAGAAAATGGCAAAAAAAGGAAACTTATATTTAACATCAGGAAAAGACAGCTAAAATTAATACGGTACATAATAAGGAATGAGGGCTTGTAAAATCTGATAACCACAGGACAGAATGAAGGCAAGAGTGACTGGAAAACAATGCATGACACACTTAGTGAGCTTGAGTAAATGGATGGCAGAACAGTGTTTAGGAGAAATAACAAAAAGACAAAATTTATTAAGAGCTACAAAGGACAGGAAATTGTCGAGACCCATAATCACCTACATGACTGACATGGCACATAAAGAAGTGTCAAATATTTATTGACATAAATTATGATTAAGTAATTAATTGTGTGTGCATATATATATATATTCTCTCTGTTAAGGTTCAATCTCCCTCCTCCTCATATTTACACTTTCTCTAAATTCTGTTTCCACAGGTCTGATGAATTGGATCGTATTTATGATTCCAATGGAATAAATTATGACCATGGAATATTAGTATTTAAGCCTTTTTATTATATCCTTACTCTGTCCTAGACATTGAGTTCTACCTGGATTCTTCCTCTTGGAATTTTTATTCTAAAAATATACATGTATGGGTATTTATATATTTTGCATACGTATGTATATTTTCCACTAATATTATCTATCTATATATATATATATATATTTTTTTTTTCATTTATCTAGTTTGTTACATACTTGTTATTTAGTTGATAAATTATGTTTATTTCATGTATAGATCCCTTTTATCCGTGCTGCTCAGGAAATGAGTAAAAAAAAGCTGCTTATGTTTGCCAGTCCATGGAGTGCTCCTGCTTGGATGAAAACAAACAATAACATGACAGGCAAAGGAAGTTTGATTGGTAAACCTGGAGGTATTTATTTTAAAGCTTGGGCACATTATTTTGTCAAGTAAGTGCCTTCTTTTTTAATATTTTTATATCCTCAGTTTGTTCTTTTCTGTTAGAATTAATGTGTTATTATTCACTTGAAAAAATATAACTTCAGATTGCATTAATTTTTAATACTCATGCAGAAAGTGCAGAAAGATTTTGCTTATATTTTTCTGTTGGTGTTACACAGTCAAAAGGTTGTGCTGTAATTAAAAGCTGGCAATTAGTCTGCATATTAACTTGTTTATCTTCATCATTTAAAAATGTTTACTGATATGACACTTATGACAATACAATCATAAACAACTTTCAACAAAGTTTGTGTTTTCTACATGCAACAAAGAGCCTACAGGTGAAGCCATATTGCGATGATATACCAAGTACAGATTGCAGTTGCATGCAGTCAGTATTGGTTCTACAATCCACAGTTCTATACTCATGTAGTTCTACAGTCCAAATATCTTACACAGCAAGCCTATACATAATATCTACTCTTACACATATGCTAATTAGTGGTAGCACTAACAAAGAAAACAGTAGATAATGATACATTTAAATTGTTGAAGATCAAAGTTAATTGTAAATGAAGAAGTGTGAGAAAAGAAATTATTAGCATAAAAGTTACGCTTACATCTAGCTATTTTAACTGTAAAATGATGAGGCCTTTCTGCCAATCTAGTACTGCACCTAAATTCCTAAAGTCAAGGAAAGCTCCTCAGAACAGTTATCATGAAAGTATTTATAGAAAAAGCATAGGACCAATAACATTGCAGATTCTTCTTTGGATTTTATCAAGAATCTCTAACTATATAGCAGGAGCACCAGACCATATGTTGTAGCAATATTTAAAATATGGATGAATGGTAGACTTATAATATGTAACATAGATTTTGGTGAGAAATATTGTCAAGCATGACACAGTGAATCAACTTTCCTAGAAGCAGACCAAGCAATTGATTCAATATAATCTTTCCACTTTATGTCAACAGAAAACATTAACCTGAGATGACACAGTGCATCACTCTCCTGGAGGTTAGCATCAGCCTTGCTGATAGAATGGATTTCTCTGATGATTAATAGAGAGCAGTTAAAATTAACAAACCATTCTTTGTCCCAGATTGTAGGTCATTTTGAGCTGCAAATTTGACCATAACAATCCAATCAGACTTGCTATTAAGACAGGAGTAAATCATCAGCATAGATATTAAGAATTGATGCCATGAGGAAGGTCATTGATGAAAACTAGGAACAATGTATGTCCATAGATAGAGCTATGGGGAATACCCGCATTAATGCAAAAAGATCTAGAAGAGTGGTTGTTCAAGAAAATTTTCATTTTGCTATTTGATAAAATAGAGTGAACCAGTTTAAAAATTTGACCAGAAATACCATAACCTTTCAACTTGTGAAGACCCTGTCAAATGCCTTTGAAATGTCAAAAGCAATAGCCCAAGCTTCACCATTTTGTGGCTTATATATTGTATGCCTTTCTCTTTTCAGTTAGCCTCATGTATATTTATGAGTGTTTCTTAAATTTAAACATTTTGAAAAACTAACATTTTTACTTTTGTTACATAATAAAATGCTTGCTTTAGAGGACGAAACATGTTGGCTAAGATAAGTTTTATTTTTGTCATTATTCATATATGTATATATATATATATATATATATACATACATACATGCATACATACATATATATGTGTGTGTGTAACATTTTTCACTGAGTGCACAAATACTATTGAGTGCAAATACACTGTAAATAATCCATTCAATTTTAATAGATATTCTATTAGTTAATATTTTTAATTAAAAATCTCTTACTAAAATATTTCAGAATTCAGAATATTTTTTATAATTGATTTATCCAATTTTTTCCTTTTCAGATTTTTGGAGGAATACAAACATTTTAATATTTCCTTTTGGGGTTTGACTCTTCAAAATGAACCTACTGATGGTTTTATAAACAAGTTCCGATTTCAAGCAATGGGTTGGACTCCAGGAATGCAGAGAGATTTCATTGTTAAAGACTTGGGACCAGTTCTTTACAGCTATCATTATGATAAACTGAAACTGATGATATTTGATGACCAAAGACCTTTAATGTCCATTTGGGCCAAAATGGTAGGCAAGCTCAGTACTCTTCTTTCATTTATAGGTTTTATTAATGTTGCCAGTAAATTAAATATGTTTATGATTTGTAAAGTGTGACATGTTTAATCTTGGTTAAGTGATTAAATTTTAACTTATTAAATGTTACATTTTTCAAGTTGATTTATTTGTGAGATTTAGTTAATAATTTTACATACTTTAAAGATACATATTTTCTTAAGTGATTTTTATATAATTTTGTATCAAGTTTTTAGGACTGAGACAGGAAATTACAAGAATATGGATTTTAAAATTACAAATGAAGGAATATTTAATTAATTATGACACTTTTGTGGAAAGCATATAAAAATAAATGCTAGTAGGTTTAATGATTTGTGTATCTCTTTTTTAGTTGATACATTAGTGAATTAGTGTATAGCTCAGTTCATCTGAGTATTTTGATTATCATGTGAATACACATATTAATGAGTGGCAAATTGAAACCCTTCTATCTAATGAAACTAGAACATGAGTTCATTGTATAAAGGTCGGCTGAACCCCCAAAACAAGTGAGGATCATTATATTATTAGGTTTTCAGATAAAGACATAACTAAAATGCTTCATTCTGGTTATATTTTTTAATTCCAGAATTTCCCTAAGTCCCAATCGTTTAACTAACCCTAAGCCTGCTCATATTCTTTATGGTCTGATTCATGTATCCTCATTTTCAGAAAAAAGAAAAAAAAAATTCACCTGTTATTTTTATCTTGTCACAATTTATTTAGCAATAATTGTCACATTTCAGTTGAAGAACTTCTTGATAAACTGCTCTTGACTGGCTGAAAATAACATTGTTGAAAAATATTGGATATACAAAAAAATAAGGCCTTATTATACAACAGTTTTATTAAGTTGAAGTCCAGATTCCATTCACTTGGAAACTTGAGGCAATCATACATCAATACAATACTCTATCTTGAGGGGTGGTGTCTGTGTTCGTTCATTCATGAATTCTATACAACTCACAGTAGCAGCAGCAGTGGTGTGCCTGATAACAGTGAAGTGGGAACTAAACTTTTGGAATTCAACTTCTTCTTTATGTGCTGGATGTAGGCAATCATGGCTTTCCACAATTTCCTGTCAGCTCTAAATAAATTCTGATTATATAAATTTTATTTCTAAACCCTGTTCTACAATCCATTTTCTCAAGCTCATCAAGTATGTTATGCATTGTTTTCCTCTCTTCCTCTTGCCCTCAATCTGCCCTGTGAGGATCAAATTTTCTAAGTTCTCTTTCCTCATTATGTACCCCAGAAATTTCTTCCTGTTGTTAAGTATAAGTTTTCTTTTTGTTTTCATTTTCTCTAAAACCTATGTTCGGTCTGTTGCATCCTCATCACCTTTCTGTAAAACCACATTTCTGTTGTTTCAAGTCTCTTCTTCATCTTTGAGGAAGGATTCCTTTGGAATTATGATATTGATGAGTCATTTAATCTAGGTAATTAGTTTAAAGTTCTATACAGAATTTTCTTTGTTCTGAACTGCATGGCCCCTCTTTTAAGTAAGTAAAAAGCACTTTAACAATTACCTCCTATAATAAGAGGTATATTGGCAGAAATTGTAAAAAGTAAACATACGTAATTTAATCAGGTCCCAACTTCTGATGATATTAAAAACCATCACTCATGTCATACTTAGACCAGTGGGGTGAAAAGAGTAATGGAAAAAATTCAGTCTTCAAACTTAATTTATCTAGTATTCAAATTTCATTGGCACTGTTTCAGTTAATAGGTTTTAAATGATTGCTGATATCAAATAGAGGTTTTTTTTATAACTCCTTGAAAATGAAGAAATTTAGGGAAAATAAGGAAAGTGACAATTATTATTTTTTATATAATTATTGTTTATATCAGTGATTATTTTTTTTGAGATAATATGGTTGTATATTTTATAGTGGGTTATCTATTTATTATTATGCTCACCATTTGTTTATTTATATTAATTTGGCATGAATTGCATATACAACAAATATTTTTATTATTAAACTTTTATACTTTATATCTGCTAATTTGTTTATATATTGAACACAAGTGAAGGATTTTACACAACTGTATTATAGTTGTGTAAAAAATCGTGTGTGCAGATAGAAATACTATTATTATTATGAACTAGCAGTAGAGGCCGGCATTGCCCGGGGATGTAACAGTAAGAGATAGATCAAGTATCGACCATCATAAAGAGTGAAAAATAAAATTGACAAAGATTATTGTTTAAGGTTGACGGACACGCATGTCTTAATTATTTTTTTTTTTTTTTTTTTTTTTACGAATTGGTCAAACGCAAATTCAAACAAAACATTGTTTACAATCGTTATGAGTCTATCGATTGGTGAATAGAATTTTATTATAAACAATTGTCTTGTAAATGGAATTTTTAAAGCATTCTGAATGTAAATAAAGAAAAAGTGTGCAACACAATAAGAAATACTACCTGCCGAAAAAAAAAAAGTGGATGTTTGTTTTATCGGCTGAAAAATGTAAGAAATCCGATCCCATATATAAAGGAACACACACACACACACATAAACAACCTGGGTTTTTAACCTAAGTCACTCCACGGAATCGCTAAAACATAGAGCATAGTCTGATGAAAAAGACGCCAAAGTTTATGAAAACAAAATTTTATCGTCAAAATGCTTATGTTTTTTATGAAGAGGATAGACTAAATTTTTTTTTAATTATTTTTAAAAATTTTTCCATCTTTTAGAATATTCTAAATTTTGATTTAAAAACCTTGTTTCTCTTTTGTCGCAACAAGGGGTAGTAAATAACATAGATAATTTTTAGCACGTTTTTTTGTATTTACACACATTAATTTGGAAAATCTTGCAAAAATAAAAATAATTGTCAGATGTTAATGAAACTTTCAGAAACTATTCACAGATGATCGAAATTATTATAAATATGTTTTTTTTTTATTAAAGTTATGGCAGAAATATTTTTTTTTATATTTATTAACACCCCCATAACTAATTTTATGAAAAACTCTAGAAATTTGAGACCATCGGTTTTAGTGATTACAAAAAGCACAAGGCTTTAAAGAATGCAAATCATGTTTTTTTTTTTTTTTGGCCAATGTGCTTGAAAATCAGCTGTGAATTGTAACATACAAAACTCAATAAAACAAATATATTATTTAGTTTCAAATGCTTTTATTTGTTTTAATTTGTTTTTATGAATATGGACAATATTTTCTGAAAGCAAAACATTTTTTCAATGAAAATTGAATTTTTAATACAATTATTTCTTATTTCTTTAATTTTAAAAAGATTTTTAAAAAATTTTTAAATTGAATTTTTAAAAATATTTTAACATTAGTTAAAAGCAACATCAACCTTTCAAAATGTCCGTGTAAGATTGTCATTGTCTAGCGCTTTGAAAATTGTATAATTTGGACCAATCAGATTAGCCATGGTAATTAAAAATGTAATTTTTGTGTTTATAGTTGGACAGTAATTATCAAGCACGGAAGACCAACCAGAATACAATTTAGTTGCATTATTTGAGTTCAGCATTGTTCTCCGCTGTTAAGCCCTTTACTTTTGCGAAACACGTATGGAGAAGTTAATTTGAGTTTTCAATTTCAACTGAGAAGGGTACCTACAAGTAACTAACAGTATCATCTTATGAAATTTAACTACTGCTAAACTTTAATTTATATGATCTTATTTTTATATTAATCTCAGTTATGACATTTTTCCATAAATGAAATATCAAAATTAATAAAATGAATGGAAATACAAATAACACAGTAAAATGTAATAAATGTACATAAAATTATAGTATTTTATGTACACTTCTGATAAAATTTCATAAGAAAGGTACCTAAATTAATTAGATACCTTTTTCTTATGAAATTTAATCTCACTATTAACAGTCTTATTTTTTAATTTCTTTATAATTCCATAAAGCATCGTAAACGTAAAAATGAAAGCTAAGTACAAAAAAAAAAAATAAAAAAATAAAAAAATTAGAGCGCTGAAAGTTTTCCTTAAAAGTAACAAGGTAAATAATTTGTTCACTTAAATAATTTCACTTCCTTCCATCCGTAGAAAGAATTCTCCCCGTAAGTTATCTAAATGTCATGAATGTGCCTTTTCGTCAATCGTCAAAAGCGACCGAAAGGTTATGACCTGCTTTGTTTTATTTTCAAATTACATTTTTTCGCTTAGAAGCTAAGTTAAGCTTGGTTCAAAATATTTTAAATAAACAATATAATTTCTGTTTTTATTAAAATCAGTTTTGAAAAATGATAATTGATTTTTAAAAGAATATCAAAGTAAGATTTTAATCTTTTTATCAAATCGAAAAAAATGAAAAATGATTGATTCTGTCCTTTTTTTTGACCAAAAAAAAGAATATTTTAACGAAAATTTCAGACGTGCTAGGAACGATTAAAAAATGTAAAAAATACCCCCAAAAATACTTTGATCTTTCCTCTTTAATAATAATATGAACATTAGACGATAAAATTTTGTTTTCGTCAAGTTCAGCGTCTTTTTTCATCATGCTATGCTCATTTGTTTACATTTTCGTGGGTGAGTTGTCCCTTTCATTCTCACGATGTGTCTTAATCGCGTTTTCAAATTGATTTTATTAAAAAACAACTGTCTATCTTTTTCCCATTTTCGGCCCTGTTAGAACCACCACAAAAGGTAATTTTATGTAGTCCTGTGAAGTTTTGTTGAAATCGGCTAAAAAATGTAGGAAATTGATCCAACATATAAACGTTACAGACACACACACACACAACCTGCGTTTTATAATAAGTAAGATTACTATAACATTAATTTATCAGGAATATTAATACACTATATAATATATTAATTTTGCTGATTTATTTATACAGTGAAATTCCTATATTATGTTTGACTTTTCATTCTGTATAACCAATTATATTCTATTAACATTCAAACAGTTTTAACAACAATAAAACTGGTTTTCCACTTATATATTATCTATTTTATTTTGTTATTTATTATTTTATTCCTATTATTATTAATAAAATATAATCAGTATATCAGATGGTGATTTGCTTACATCCATTTAAAAAAAATTATAAATATAATTATATACACACTCCTATTGATTAATACTGTATATAATATGTGATGAAAATAATAATTATTACAACTTAAGAAGCTTTAATAAACTAATTTTAAAGGTTACTGTTACTGACTTCAAAAGTTTGCCTTTGTTGCCTTGTGGTGCGCAAGGAGTGTGTCATAGTTCAGGAGAGTTCCTTAAGGGCCGATGACCTTCATTCACCAGGGAGTTCCTCAAGGGCTATTATTACAATATCAGATCAACCTTGCCTAAAATTGAACTTCACTTTGGAATAACTTACATTTGAAATCTTTTTGTGAACATTTTTAATGAAACTAGAAATTAATTAGATTCTTATAAAGTCTTTAATTTTCTCATTGTTTCTTTGACTTAACTTTAATCTTGTACTATTAATCATTAACTTTTAATCTACTTTGATGTTAATATTCCTTAGATTCCAACATCTGGGATAACCTTCAGAGAGGTTTTAATAATATAATGATTCCGCATTGGCCTGGAAGGGGTTTAGAGCTTTCTATGGAAACTTTCCTAGAGATGATGTCTCAATAAAAGTACCCAGTGTTCTGTGTTGTTGACATGTTATTGTACTTTCCCCATTAACAACCCCGTGACACTATGTCTAGCCAGGCTCAGTAAACTGATACAAGGTTGAAGTTTGATTTCATCCACTCTGTGATTTTTTTGTGTCGACCATTCAGGTGTATTTGTAGTCTGGATCAAGGCCAGAGTCTAAGTTCTTTCTGCAGAATCCACACAGTATTTGGCAAGGTGGGTCTTGAACCAACTGGCATTGCAAACAGCAATTCAGACTGTCTGGTTCTTTCTTCTCTGTTTCTCATCTCACTCATCTGTATTTATGGACTCTCGTGCAAACCTGGTGCAGGGCATGAGGTGGTCGGAAAATTGATTGCCTGATCAAATTTGGGGAGAACCCTCTCCTGAAGGGTGATGGTGGCAGAATTTTGATCCGCCCAACTCCTTCCATCTTGTGTGGGTGCCTCTCACCATCATCAGCCAAGGGGTTCAGGCATTTCCTCTGTCTTTTTTGAAATTCTACCTGGGCCTTTTACCTCTCTCTGTCTCCTGATCAAACCTGTCCCTTGAGGCTAGGTGTGATTTAGTCCAAAATGCTAAATTCAATTATCATCCAAAATTTCCATCAGTGGGCAATTCTTATTGTGTCCTTGTGTGGTCAGCTGCATCTGGGATTCGTTACTTGTTGCTTCTCCACGCCAGCTTTTTGGTCAACAAGTGACAAAAAGAGACAGTTCATCTTAATAAATTTTATCATGTCTTAGGCAGATGAAGGAAAAATATAACTACAATGCCATCCCTGTTTTCTAAGTCCTATCAAATGACTGAATTTTGGCTAGAGATTGGTTCCTAGTCATTGTGGATACTTGAAGTTGTTAAAATGTAATTTATTCTACCATGTGAGTCAAGTGGGCACTTAAGAAAAATACTATCACTTAAGATTAAGTTGACCATGTACAGATGGCTTCTATGCTCATTGTCGCAAACACCCACACGTCGAGGTGGGGAGAGAAAGGAAAAAACATTCTCTTCCCCCATTCTCCTTGTCTTTCTTATCAGTTTATTGAAATCAGCATTTCTCTAGTTTTTGTTGTTATCAATATATTTTCAGTCTATTGAAAAACATTGTTTTTCTTTCTTGTTTTCCAGTTTATTTTGAAAGCCTTTTTCCCAATTTACCAATAAAAGTGTCACACATGCATTGAATATTGCTGTCACATCTGCTATGTATTTAGAGATTCTTGATAAAATCTAAAGAAGAATCTGCAATGTTATTGGTCCTAACCTGGCATCTTAGTTTCAGTCACTTTCCCATTGTCGTAATAGAGCTTCCCTGTGCCTTTTCTATAAATATTTTCATGTTAATTGTTCTGATGAGCTTTCCTCTTTGGTACCTTAACTTTACAAGTTTAAGCACCATACTAGATAGGTAGATAGATTGTGGCACCATTTACGAGGCAGAGAAAGAAAGAGAAAGAAAAGAAGGCAGAAAGAAATGCGAGATCCGAATCATAGATGATAGGCGAACACACACGCACGGCTAAGAGGCAATAAAAAAAAAGGGTTATTTTGATAAGTGGCAAATGGCGAAAGAGTGTCATTACAATGACAATGAGATTTGAGTGGGTAGGGAAGTGTTATCTAAGGATATGAAAACAAACTATTGGTATGGGAAGGCATCTTATTTATCAACACAGACCACCGGCCAAGGGAAAAATTCAAGTGAAAATGTTATTTCGATAAGTGACGACAAGAAACAGGCGACTAAAAAAGACTTTGGACAGATATGAAAATTAAAGGCCACCTACGAGTAATCGTTGACCGATTTTCCTACTTGGCCTGCAACGAATGGAATTGTGTTATCAAGAAATGTTAAGCCAAAGAAAGTCCACTTGAAAACGTTAATTTTGATAATTGACAAAACACAGGTGTAGCTACAGAGCCTTAGTTAGATATGGAAAATTAAAATCCCACACAAGCAGTCTCGCTAACTAAATTCTTTTCAACAAAACAACGTTGCCCTGCGATAATAAAATTTTGTTATCAGACACATGAACTGAAGGAAAATGAATAGAACCAGAAATGTTTTTCTTTCTTCCTTGGAGACGTCAGACTGACTGAAAACTTGGGGAAAATTCTTTTCTGAGGCCATGTCGGAAAACCAACCATCTGATGAATTAGCGATAAACTACTTGACAAACGCCACGTGTTGAACAAAGAGTTGTCATATTATCCGTTCATGATAACGGTGATTTGAAAGGAAGAAAAAGGAAAGAGAAGAGATAATTAACTTTTTAGTTAAGCAAGGTATTTTTTTTTCCGAAACAAAGCCGTGGATTGTTCACGCCCGACTAAGACGTCATTGGTCAAGTGGTGATCACGTGACGCACGAAGGAGGAGGAAAGATACCCGACCAAGACCTCATTGGCCGAGTGTGATCACGTGACGCACAAAGAAGGCTGTCGACGCCCCCATACAGAGTATAAGTATGAGAAGCTGCTACGAAGAAGTGGGGAGGGCAGTTCACGCCCCTCAGAAACATGGTGAGAAAGTGGGAGTGAAAAAAAGTTACCAAAAATGGAAAAGAGTGGAAAATCCCTAACCAGAAATAAAAGAGGTGGATATGTATTTAGAATTATTGAGGAACTCCCCGACGCCAACAGACCCAACCCGGTTTTTGTCGGCGTCAATAAAAGCCAGGCCCCAACAGGCAGAAATCAGTTCGGGCCCTGGCGGCAGAGATGATAGCTGAAGATAGCTGACCAAGATTCACATAAAATTTCGGACTCCTCTTCAACCAAGAACAATTATTTTGAAGAGCGACTTAGAACCAGACCACGAAATAAGTTTTTCGACTTTCGTCCAAAGACACAATCAAACACAAATTTCTTAGAGAGCAAACAACTTGAAGCGTTAAAACTTGCCTAGCTAAAAACGACGTGTCACAATCCACAGAACGGGTCGGGAGATAGATGCAGTCCTATGTATGAACAACTAGACATAAAGTTTGTTACCTTTTTCTTTGATACTTTGAACTTTTGAGTTTTCATTTTATTTTCTTTTATGCATATTTGTGTGTTATCACCCTGTTGAACTCAATTTGCATTACAGCCCCAACCACTGTTTGATCTCGTCTGTCTAAGATCAATTCTGGCATTAGGTAGGCAGACTGGAGATCAGTGCAGTTACCTTGGTAACCAGGCGTTGAAGCGAGTTGGGAAGCCCGAGGCTGATATCAAATCTAACCAGATTCCCACCCGAATCACCAAAAGGTTAGAACGTCACATTTGGGTGCCGTGACCGATACCAAGCCAGTTGGTTGTCACAGTACGAGACAACACGACCACGCGACAGGCGGACGTCATGTTTGGAGCAGCGACACTTTCCGACGGAACAGCGAGGAGCGAACAGCTGGCGCCTTGGCAAAAGATGTCAATTGGTGCTGTTTAGGGACGTCACAACTGGTGTCGTGACCGGGATAGGACCCTGAAACGGCCACGTCACAACTGGCGCTGTGGTAGATCAGGATAGAACGTCACAGTTGGCGCTGCAACCGGGGGACGACGTCACAAGATCTCAAAATTTTACAGTTGAAATGGCTAGATGTAACCATAAGTTCTATGCTAACTGTTTTTTCTCTCACACTTTTTGCTTGTGGAACTCTTTTCCTACTTCTTGCTTTCCAGGCAATTTTGATTTTCAAAAATTTACATGTTATGTCAATTGCCATCTTTTGTCTTCTTAATTCTTGTTTTTTTATTGTGCTCTCTCATTAATAATAATTTTATTTTTCTCCTATTCTTTCACACTTTATGTCTTAATGGCTTTATTACATTGCTTGGGGTAAAATGATTAAAAACAAAACAAAAGATTCTAATTATCATTTCTGAACTGTTCATTCTTTTATTAATATCTAATGTTTTCTGTTCTCTTATTGTTTTCTATCCTTAATAATGTTTTCTTTTTTCAAATTCTTTTACATTCTGTATCTTAGTGACTTTATTGCTTTGCTTGAGATGAAAAAAATTGATCCAACCATTCTCCATCAACAATCTCTTTAAGTTATTTATTACTTCAAACATCCTAGTCATGATTCCTTTGCTCTAACAGGGGTCTTGCCTATATTAAAAGACAATGTTTTTTTATATTCATATAAGTTTTTTTTTTATTTTGAAATTCTGGATGTATTGAATTTGTTTACTCATGGTTAGAGCCTTTCAAATGTTGTCTTTTTTACTGTAGATTTTGTTGGATCCAGAGATACGAAAATATGTATCAGGTATTGCTGTTCATTGGTATTTAGATCTACCCTACACATCTAATATCTTGGATATCACACATAACATGTTCCCTGATTATTTTATCTTGGGCACAGAGGCATGTGTTGGGTCATATCCATGGAATTATCCCAAAGTAGCCCTTGGAAGTTGGAGCAGAGCAGAGGATTACAGCAAAGACATTATCCAGGTATAATATAGTATATACTTTCCTTTTATTTTTTAATTCAAATTTTTTATTTTGTTATATGTTTATTTTCAGTAAAGCTTTCATTTGTGGCCCTATTGTTAATTTTACAAAAGATCTGCATCTATTAAACAGACAAAATTTTCTTTTCCACTGTCATATGACATGACTGCATCAAATAAGGATGTAACAAGGTCAATATTCTCGTCACAGATGAAAGTTGGACATCTATTTTAAGATATTTTATTTCATCATTTGCAAGTGTACATTGTTGCATATGCTGCCACTGATTGTTGCTGTCCTTGTTTTGACAGTTGAATGAAGGTGTTTACTGCTAGTCCCTTTTGGAGGAAAGGGAAGATAATGTTCCCTTTAGTCCCTTTTGGAGGAAAGGGAAGATAATGTTCCCTTTAGTCCCTTTTGGAGGAAAGGGAAGATAATGTTTTGGCTGGCAAATGAGAGAAAGAAATGTTAAACTATTTGTCACATTCTCCAAATGAAGAATTTATTTAACATCATCAAACAAATTTGAATGCAATCTAATTACAGCAATGGTAACCATTAAGTAAAAGAAAAAATGTGTTCTTAGATGGGTTAGAGAGAGTTCATAGAAAGTCTAGAGAAATAAAGTTTGGAAAACAAGTGTGTGTATAATATCAGGTCATCCCATAAGTTCTGTCTGAATTTTAACTTTTTGTTAAAATGAATGAAATTTAAAGAGTATTTTATAATGTCTGATGGAGCTGAACATTATTTTTATGTTTAGATGCATTTAAACTGATCAAATTTTATTTCAGAGAACAATAAAATTAAATTTTGTTTGATAACCCTGCTAACATGGAAGTACCCAAGAATCATTTGAGGTACATAATGCTTTATGAGTTCAAGAAAGGAAACTCAGCAGTCAAAGTGGCTAGAAACATTCACTGAGTTTATGGAGAGGAATGTGTGAATGAAAGAACTTGCAGAAGATGGTTTGCAAAATTCAGAGGTGGAGATTTCACCCTTGAAGATGAAGATCGAACCGGATGTCCAGTTGAGTTTGATGAAAAGCGTCTTGAAGCAGCCCTTGAAGAAAATCCTGCTTTATCAGTTAAGGAATTGGCAGTGGTTCTCATTTCAAACCATACAACTGTTCATCGTCATCTTCAACAACTTGGAAAAGTTCCTAAACTTGGAAAATGGGTGCCTCATGAATTGCCTGAAAACAACCTCAAATCCCGAGTTGACATCTGCTCTTCTCTCCATTCTCGCCATCTTGTTTCACCTTTTTTGGATAGACTTGTGACTTGCGATGAAAAATGGATCTTTTATCGAAATGTTAAGCATCATAGACAGTGGCTTGGTAAAGGGGAAGGACCCCAGTCACAGGCAAGAAGGGAATTTCATGGGCAAAAGGTTCTTTTTTCAATCTGGTGGGATCGCCAAGGAATAATCCACTTTGAATTCTTACCACCTAATGCAACAATTAATGCTCAAATATACTGTCAGCAGTTTGAACCAAGCTTTGATGAAAAAAAGACCTGCTCTAGTGAACTCAAAAGAGGTGATGTTTCATCAGGGCAATGCGCAACCCCACACAGCAAGAATCACATCACAAAAGATCAAAGAACTTGGTTGGGAGAAAATTCCTCATCCACCTTATTCTCCCGATCTTGCTCCTTCAGTCTACCATTTGTTTCGTAGCTTACAGAATCATTTGGAAGAAACAGCTTCTGTAACACAGGAAGAGGTTAAAACTGACATTTGTGAGTTCTTCAAATCAAAGCCAAAAGAATTTTACAGTAATGGAATTAGTAAGCTTGTTAATAGATGGAAGGAATTCATAGATAATCAGGGAAAATACATTGTTGATTGAATCTGTAATTAAATGTAACATTTGGTCACTTGTTTTTTTTATTCAAAATTCGGACAGAACTTATGGGATGACCTTATATATGCAGGTTTAAAGATGTATGTATTTATGGACAGAAGTAACTCCTTTAGGAAGTTTCTTTTTCCATAGTTGGCATAGCGAGGTGTTTGGGCAAGTATCTTGCTTGTGTTGATCTGTCTGTATGGCATGAGTGCCTGAATGAGAAGACTTTCTTTGGTATGGTGTAATTAATTAAAGGTGCTGTGTGTGCTTGCTGAGAGTCCACCATTTAATTTTTGATCCATTCTTATATAGGCCAGAAATAGGTTCTAAATAAAAGCCAAAACTTAATATTTTTGTTGTGTTTCTATTGGTTGAAAAGAAGTAAAATGGTGTGCTTACTATGATGTCTGCATGTGATGACACTAAGTCTGCTTTTATATGTCTATTTTTAAACTTGATGAAATTTTAGTTGTTTAGGGAATTTGAAAATGTGTGTGTTGCACATTAAAAAAGAAAATAAAGTGAAGAAGAAAAAAACATTACTCCTAATCCCAGTTGTGCATGTGGAAAACTACATTTTTATAATGACTGTCCATACAGAAATAAAGAATGTTTTTGTTGCAAAAAAAAAGGACATAAGAAAACTTACTGTAGAGTAAAAGTAAAAAAATGAGTGAATAATTAATTACATTAAAGTTACTAATGTGGATGAATCTGCTGGTCAGAATATAAGGAAAAATCCTTAACAAAAATATTAAATTACAATTGGATAGTGGATCTGATTTAAGCATAATAAATGTATATACATGGAAAAAATAGGAAAACCAACATTAATGGTTACCAGGAAAATTGCTTGTAGTATTACAGGACAAAAAATAAAATTCAAAGTAGAATTTATAACAAATGTGATGTTGAACGAGAAAACCTTGAAATTAAGACTGTAATGAAAAATACAAATAACCTTTTTGGAACAGACTGGATGGAGCAGTTTAAGTTATGGAACAGTCTAATCAGTTCGTTTTGACAAGAAGTTAAAGGTTTTACCAACGAAGCAGAAAGTTTAAAGAAAGAATTGAAAATTTAATTCCCAGAGGTATTTTCTGGTGGGTTAGGCAGATGCAATAAAATGAAAGCTAAATTTGAGCTAAAGGAAAATGTACAACTGGTTTTCAAAAAGAGAAGGAATGTACCCTTTGTAGCGTTAAAACAGATCAATGACGAGCTTGACAGACTTGAAAAAATGGGTGTTTTATCTAAAGTTGACTACAGCGATTGAGCTTCACTGATGGTATATATAAAGAAAAAGTATAAGTGATACATGTCTGTGTGGATTTCTCCACAAACTTAAACGATGCCCTCAAAGTTATCATTACCCACTTCTGGGGCTGGAAGAGGATTTTGTGCAACTTAGTGGGGGTCAGATATGTAGCGGACCCCCTGGAAGGGGGGGGCAATATGAAAGTGCGGCCCGAGCGTCCCCCGTATCGCAAAGGTGATGAGGTCACAAAATGCCCGCTAACATTTCTCGTATCGAAGACGTTAAATCCGACAAGGTGAAACAACACAGATGACAGAATGAGGATATGTAGGCTTAATACGAATTTATTATATACAGAAAGAGTAATGGTGGTTGGACTGGTCGAGGTGCAGACGTTCTGGTCGTGTCGATGGTTGGAGTCTAGATGCTGACGTTCTGGTCGTGTCGACGGTTGGAGTCGGGATGCTGACGTTACAGTCGGGTCGACAGTTGGACGTTGCAGTGCAGGCATTGATTGTCGAGGCCAGTGTCAAAACCTCCCATAAATATTACAACAGTTAGTATATGGGGAAGGTTGGTTGGTTGGTTGTCGCAGAGATGATCGCTGCTGGTCGTTGCAGGTGGTCGCTGCGGTTCGGTTGGTCTGGTTTCCAACTGGACGTGTCAGGAAGGAAAGAGGAGCTGGCATTGTGATGTTGTTGGGCATATCAAATATCCGATGCTGGCGTTGCGTGTCTGCTGGTCAAGTCTGATATCGAAACCTCCCGTAATAATCATAAACATAGTGTACGGGAAAGGTTACGGATGATGTGCAGGCAGCCAGTAGGGACAGAATGCTGAGAGTAGAACATGGGCAAGGAGCCAGAAGTAAGAGGTGAAGTAAAGAGAGAAAGAAAGGTTTCCAATTATCGTCAAGTTGGCAGACAAAAAAAATAGGAGCATAAATGAATACACAGCCCTGGTCGACGTCCTGGCCACGGAGGCTAGGAGCCTGCGTACCAACTGTTTCAGTCGCGGATCCTTTTGAATTCAGCGAGAAGTCACTGTATTATGGTAAGGGAGACTAGCAACAGAATTGGTATAGCTAATATTTTAAAATCTATCTACAAAATGAGTTGAGATTTACAACGTGAAAACTAAGGTTTAAAAAATGTTTAGAGGTATATTACAACTAGGTTCGTAATACAACTGAACTAAAAAGGTAATTAGCTAGTCTCTACCATGTAATTAGCAGCATGTAGAGAACACGATTGAAAGGTCAAGGTCAAAATGACCTGTTCTCTTCCAGTTTAGGGAGCGGCCAAAGGCGGCCGTGACAGATATTTTCGAAAATGCTTAGTGGACTTGACTTTGCAGTCTCTTATCTAGACGATATTTTGCTGAATAGTGGAAACCCAGTAGAACACAAGAAAAATGTTTTTGAGGTTTTCAGAAGGATTCAGGACTATGGATTCAAGCTGAAAGACGAAAAATGTGAATATTTTATGAATAAAATCAAATATCTGGGACAAATAATTGACAAAAATGGGAGGAGATCTGATCCAATATGAGACATGCCTGCTCCTGAAAATGTCAGCTCCCTACAAAGTTTCCTTGATTTGGCAAATTATTACAACATATTTTGTTTGTGAGCTTTGTTAAATGAACTATTAAAAAAAGACTCTAATGATTCCAGACTTATCCAAAAAATAGTGAACTTTTGGAAGACACAGTCATTGCTTCTCTACAAGTGGAAGTAGAGATAAGAAACATGTTCTATGGAATACTGTACAGTAACTACCTGTGAAATAAAAAAGTAAAATAAAGCATTGGATGACAATTTTATTGTGGAAATGAAGAAAAAACTAAAAGACAGGAGTAAAACAGAATCTGAGGTATATTCAATTT